TGGGGTCAGTCTTCTCCTTTCTACCTTGAGTTCCAGGGATGGAACTCGGGTTGTAGGCCAACCTGTCAAATACCTTCACCTGCTGTAACAACAGGTGGAGCAGCAGATTGATCTGGCCACCTCAAATAGTCTTTTTCCTGGTACTTGTTCCAACTGGCGTCTCTAATTTATTCATCACTTCAGATGTGTTATTTGCTAAAATGCAAATTTTAATGCTATTATTTTTCTACTTAAAACTTACTGACTTTCTGTTGCTTTAGGATAAAGTCCAAATTCTCAAAATTCTTGTAGATCTCTTGGTTCTTGCTTCATTTTGCATCAAATTCTCTGCACTTACATCCCTCTCTCACTTTTATCTTCCCTCCCCAGAATGTTTTTACCTCCCATTCTTTATTTCTGGAACACTTATCTTCCCATCTCCAGTCTTTCTCATTACAATCTTAGTTGTGCCTTAATGCCTATATATCACTTTGTTCAGGAAGCCTTCTTCCTGAGTTTAACTCTGCTTGTGCTGTTTGGGGTTTCTTATTTTATTCTTTCTTTTTGGAGACTGGGGTCTCAATCTAGTGTCCAAGCTATTCTTTCTTCAGTTTCCCATAACTGAGACCACAGGAATGTGTCAATTTCTCACTGAGTGTTTCCTAATTGAAGTATAGGTTTTTGTTGTTTGGTTAAAGAGACTTGTGAATGTCAGGCAGATACTCTACCAAAGACACTCTGCCTTTGGTTTTGTGTTATAGACTCTGGATATGTACCCTAGGCTGGCCTGCAACTAGCTATCAGCCTGTCCCTGCCTCAGGAGAGCTAGCTTTATAGGTACACTAACAGGTCAGGCACCTGTTATGCTTTTTTTGTTGTTGCTGGGAAGAAAAACATTTATTTTAGCTTTGCATATTGCATATTTATAGGTATGTTATATATGCTTATAAAAGTATAAAGGTTATAGCTTAAAAATATTTATTTTATTTTAATTATGTATATGTTTGTGCCTGTGTGTGGAATATGTGCATGTGAGTGCAAGTGACCTTGGAGGGCCAGAGACATCAAATTCCCTGGACCTGGAGTTACAATTTATTGTTAGTGTACTGACATGGGTGCTGGGAATTTAACTCAGGTCCTGGGGAAGAATAGGAAAGCCCCCTTTCCCTTTTTTTTTTTTTTTTTTTTTTAAGATTTATTCATTTTATGTATGAGTGCTTTATCTGCATGTACACCTGCGTGCCAGAAGAGGGCATCAGATCCCATTATAGATGGTTTGAGCCACCATGAGGTTGCTAGGAATTGATGAACTCAGGATCTTTGTAGGAGCAGCCAGTACTCTAAACTGCAGAGCCCAGGATTATGCTTTTAAAAAATAAATTATCAAGATGGGTGTTGGTGGTGGTGGTGCACGCCTTTATTCCCAGCACTGGGGAGGCAGAGGTCTACAGAGTGAGTTCCAGGACTACACAGAGAAACCCTGTCTCAAAAAACAACAAACAAACAAAAACCATCATAATAGTTTTAAATAAGTGCAGTTATAACATGGCTTTTTATGATGTAAACTGTATATAATCTAACCCTGCATTTTGTATGATCAAAAATTTTGATTCTGCTTACATTGCTATAATATTGGCTTTTTAAA